AAGAGGGCAGTTTGGCTCTTCAGCTCACTTTGAAAATAACTGAAAGCCATTCTATTCTGTATCCATTAGCAATAAGGTAAACAGATGCCCCACATTCTGTAAAACCTAGAAAACTTATTCCCATGCCAGTAAATAAAAACTATTTAAAATTTTAATTTATCATTTAACATGGTTCTCCCAAAAAACTCATAATTTTGTTGGACTGTCCTGTGTACCACCAGTGTTCTCTTACATGGAATTTTACCTACAGGTATAGCCACACTCAAACAGTGAAATCTTTTTTCACATTAGTTAATTTTTACTCTAAAAAAATTCATTCTCTTCATTTTGCATCAACTAAAAAGATAATCATTTTAGCTTTCACTTTCTCACAGCAGTTTGTTTTTATGTTTCCTGTACCTAATGCAGCGTGACCCTAAAATGAAACTTCAATTAAATGTGAACACTGACAAGGACAGTTTGTTTGTTTTTTACATTTTCCAAGGAAAGGCAGTTACTGATGTGACATCTTTGTATCTTCTTTTAGGTGAGTCATTTATTTTAATCTACTCTAAAATAGTTTCCTCGATTTAAAAAATATAAACACAGGCCGGGTGTAGTGGCTCACGCCTGTAATCCCAACACTTTGGGAGGCTAAGACAGGTGGATCACCTGAGGTCAGGAGTTCGAGACCAGCCTGGTCAACATGGTGAAACCCTATCTCTAATAAAAATACAAAAATTAAAGCATGTGGTGGCACGTGCCTGTAGTACCAGCTACTAGGGAGGCTGAGGCAAAGAATTAATTGAACCTGGGAGGTAGAGGTTGCAGTGAATCAAGATTACACCACAGCACTCCAGCCTGGGTGGCAGAGTGAGATTCTGACTCAAAAAATACATATATAGGCAAGGCGCAGTGGCTCATGCCTGTAATCCCAGCATTTTGGGAGGCCGAGGCAGGCAAATCACGAGGTCAAGAGATCAACACCATCCTGGCCAGCCTGGTGAAACCCCATGTCTACTAAAAACACAAAAATGAGCCAGGCATGGTAATGCGCGCCTATGGTCCCAGCTACTCAGGAGGCTAAGGCAGAATAATCGCTTGAACCCGGGAGGCAGAGGTTGCAGTAAGCCAAGATCACGCCACTGCACTCCAGCCTGGTGACAGTGAGACTCAGTCTCAAAAAAAAGACTAAAAAACAAAAACCATATATATATATAAATACATACACACAGAGATCAAAATCTTGAGGCTGACAAGTGCCTGGTGTAGCTTTAGCTATATCCTTATTAAAATCAAAGGGCTGAGCTCATGAGCCTGCAAGCTCACCAAACTTAACC